GACACATTGCAAATAGGAAATCATCACCACCCCTACCTTTGTCCTGGCAAAGCATCACTGTCCCACACCTCATGTCCAGCTTTGTGTGTCTACTACAGACTTGCTAACAACATACACTTGCTGACAAACCCCTCCTTGGAGAGCATCTTGCTTACTTTTCATTCTATCTGAATGGAACAAGTAGCAAATTTCCAAGTCTTCCTTGCTTCAGCTCCGCAGTGTCCCTGCCCAGGAGTACAGAGACTCTCTGCTGTCTGCAGCAGTGTGTGGCCATCCCAGAGGTGATCCCTGCCCAGCACTTGCTCCAAGAGCCACTCCTCTGTTACACCCAGCAAACCACTGCTCTGCTGCTGCCAAACTTCATGCAGCAACTTTCCATCATGACTCAGCCCTCCTTTTCTGAGTTACCACAGGATTTAAACAGGGAAATAGCACCTGTGGGGTTACCAAAGGCCAAAACCTACTGCCCCACAGAGCTGAAAGCACCAGGGGGTAAGAAAGGCGTGTGCATGACTGTCACTCATCTGAGTGTCCCCAGCCCCAGGGGCATGTGCACCTTTCTGATGGATGCTCCCATTGTTCCTGCCTCTCCCCGCCGGGTGGCTGACAGAGCATTGCTGTCACATTTCTGCCTTGCACTCTTTTTCACTGTCTGCATTTTCCATTTCTTCCTTGTTATAAGAACAGCAAAGCAAAAACCCATCCACTCTAACACAGAACTGGGGTTTCTTTGGCCAGCACCAAGGCTGGGATCTGGCTCGAAGGGTCCCTGCCAGGGGACATGAAAGGAGAGAAGGCAGAGGCAGGAGATATTACTGATGCTATAAGGAAGACCCACTTGGGAGGAGAAAGGCTCCTGGCTCGTTCAAAACAAATTGGCCGAGAAAACCCTGGATGGAATGGAAAGAGTCACGTTCTACAACTTTAGCTCAACAAATCCTTTCCCCGAAGAACCTACCGGCAATTCATTACACTGGATCTGTAGCCAAGAAGTTCCCATTCTCCAGAGACGTCAGATCAATACAGGGAGGGGGTTTGAGATGTGCCATGAAGGTGCAGAGCTCCCTGCTGATCCACCCTGGCACACGGACCACTGGGTGCCTGTTAGCTCTGTCCCAGGGAGGGAACACGTCTCACAGGAAGGGGCCAAAGAGGTGATGCAGGAACAGCAACGTTCAGTGCAAATGACAAGGCTTAATAAAGGATGAAAACTCCAGAGAACAGCTACGTTTGGGGCTGAGCCTCTGGCAGCCTCTGAGAAAACCCTTGTAGTGTTACTTTTGATTAAACATTTTCCTTTTGAGGGGAAACCCCAAGAAAGCTGAGGAGCTGGTCACTACCCTTAGAAAGGGGACAAATCAGTCTTTCAAGAAGAAACCTTGAAGGTAACAAATAGGATGAAATGTTTGAATTGGACTCCACGTGTAGTATCTCCAGCGGGGCGATTCTGGAGGTCTGTTCCAACACCACAGAAAACTTCTTGGTGCAAAGCCTTGACTCAACTTTGAGCTATCAAAGGACCAAGGGGTGAGGGGAGCCTGTTCTCAGTCTCTCTCTAACCCTGTAGGTGTAGGCAAGGAGTAACCATGAGAGACTCATGGCTCAGCAGTCAGACAAGGGACATGGGTTGGCACAAGCTGAGCACATCCAACCCCTCAGCCACAGCTGGACCATGCTGCTTATACCTTTGCTCTGCTCAAAGCAGCAGCACTGACCAGAGAGTGAGAGGAAAAAATGGGTTGAACAATTGCACACAGACTTGTCCAGGCAGCAAAACAACATTTTTCTCTCCTGGCCAAAATAAATGGCTGCTGGGAGTCTCTGCTGTTCAGCTCCAGCAAGGTTGGATGTGTATGGGTGGTTAAATTCTACTGATCTCACCTTCCTGAGACTTGATGTTTGATTCCCTCGATGTCAGACCGAGTTAGTTTGATCTGAACATTTAGAGCACCAACAGTGCTTAATGTGGACCAGAAATAATATCTGACATGCTGCCCTTCTGCCAGGCTCTTAATGAGCAATTTGAGGTGTTAATAGCTTGGAGACCATCTTCACTTCCAGCTCTGCCACAGAGAATCACATGGTGGCTGCTGAGGGACCCAGAGAGAATACATTACTGCTTAATTAACATGCAGAACAGAACAGGGCTAAAGAGCCAGCAAAGGGGCTATGCCAAACCCTTTGGAGCAGAGGCTGCTCTCCTGCCAGATGCTTGGGACCCTCAGCTGCCACCAACTCAAGCAGAGTTGGGTGACTCAGCATCAGCTGGAAGAGTGAGTGCCTAAAGGCTCAGGTCCAGCAAAGCCAATTTAGTGGGAGATGGGGCGATTAAAAGCTGGAAACTGATTCAGCATTCCCATTTCCAAAAACCTAAATTGGTTCTAAAAAAAATAGGAGTGAAGAGAAACAGGCAAGCAGCCAACAAGTGGCCTCAGAGGAAATTAATTCCTTGTGGGCTTCGCTGGAATGTGCTTGTTTCTCTGTTATTATAAAATATATGCATTGTTCTAGCATCAAAATTAGATTTCCCCTTTAGCTTGTAATTAAACCCTAATCTAATTTGCCAGAAGATGACAGAGGCCTCGAAGCAGAGCTTACAGCCCTGCCCCTCTTTCTTTCTCCACCTCCCACCATCTGCTTTTGCAGATTTTCTTCTGTGTTCCAGGGTCTGCTTGTGATGGTCCTGTGCACCAAGAAGGGCCACACAAAAAACCTGTTGGGACTTGGTAAGACCCAGCTGGGAATGGGCTGCCTCAGTGCCCAGGGCTTCTTCCCCAAGCCCTCCTCAGAATCATAGCTAGTTTCCAACTCCCAAGAGGTCATCTCCTCTGAGCCAAGTCCCAGTTCCCCAAACAAAACTCTGTCTGTGTGAGCTCTGTTCTTTGTAACTGCAGCACTTCAATGGCCAGTGGTTAACTGGGCTCAGTTTCCTGGGGCATTATGGAAAAACTGTTTGCTTCTTTAATAAAAACTGCCCAGACCAGACTTCTGCACTCTGCACAGGTCACAGCAGGAGGAACTGCCAGAAATGTGTTTACAGATGTGCCCCAGTACTACTGCAGGATTGCACTTGGGCTTGGAAAGCCCAGCCCAGCCTTGTATGGCCCTGCTTCCCAGGGATGTTCAGGCAAGTGCTCCCACAGACAGCTACAGCCACCCCTAGAGCCCCAGCAGAACCTGCTGATCACTGTCAAACACCAAAGAGCTGGTTTGGGAAGGTGATGTGTGGTTTAACAGCTGAAAACTGCCTTCACCAAGGTGGTCTTTGCCTCAGGCCACAGAGGTCTGAGAAAGCAGCTTTCATTTCCAGGGAAAACCAGTGTGGGGGCTACATCAGCATGAAACTGGTGGAGAACACCTATTCCCTGAGCATCCAGCCTGACCACGGCTGGTTGTTGTTATTTCCGCAAGGAAATCTCAAAAGCACTTTGTCAGATCCCAGGCAAACAGCCTCGGTCCTTGCAAAGCACAAACAGGACCCCAGGAAGAAGAGCTCCAAGCAAAGGAGCACCTACCTTATGGTGTTCACCTGGCTGTCTGTCTGGAAGGACCAGTGGTAGTGGACAGGGATTGGGCTGCAGTTGGTCATTGCCACACAATCCACTTGCTCAGTGGCATTCATGATGTAGCCAAAGTCCAGGGCCTTGGTCTGGATATGCAGGTTTGGGAAGTGGACTTCTCCCCGAATGGTGATCTGCTCCTCATGGGGATGCTCCATGAACCTCATGTTCAGTGTCTTCTTTGCTACCCAGCTATTCAAATCCTTTTCATAAGCCGGGTTAAATTGGATGTGAAGTTCCTCCCCTTTGTCCAGTTTTATGGGCTGCAATGAGATGAAGAGACTGTGAAGCTCTTCAGCCCCAAGGAAGGTGGAAATCCACTTCCAGGGTCTTGGCTCTGACTGCAGGAGCCAGGCAGCCACGCTGAGCTCACAGATGCCCTTTTGGATTTCCAGGCAAGACACCCTCACCAGTTCCCTGGTCACTCTGTTTCCTTTCTAGAACCTTTTTCCCTTTTCAGCAAAACCTTGGGCTCAGAACTGAACAGGGACAGTCCCGCTGCTGGTGATTAATCGAGTCTTTCTCAAGCTACCACTGAGGCAACCCATTAAAACACCTTTCAGAACACCAGTCTCAGCAGGACTTTCATGCAGATACATTTCACATTCACTTCCACATCTGTGCCCAGTGGTCCTGGAACCAGGGAATGCACACCAGGGTTAGCTGGCAGCTTCTCTGCAGAGTTGTATTTCCCCTGGAAAGAAAGGTCCAGGGAGGAGAACATCTCAAGGCCCTGCTAAAATCTGCTCCTCTGAGCTGCTTTCCAAGGGTGCTGCAAGGCCTGGCTGCCCTTGGGACACCAGGGCTGGCTGAGAGACTCGGGAGCAGTTATGGAAATATTGACAAAAGTCAAGCTGTCAATTATAATGATCTCTGGGAACAGTTTCCCACATGGATGGACATCACACTGATCATTAGAGCTGACACAGGGTTGGTTTTCCTCCTCCAGGACTCAGGGTTAGACCACCCCTCTGCCCACGTTTGTCTGCAGAGGACAAGCAGTGCTGCTCCCAGACACTCCCTCCCTTCACAGGGCTTTTGTTTTACTCCCTGCTTTCCCCAGATAAAGCACTTGGCACTTGTTTCATTTGCTTTCTGCCTGGGCTCTCAGTCTAAGTGTAACTTTTTTTCTCTGCCCTTCCTTTCTGCCTCAGCACACGACACTGGTAACCTCCTGTTTGCCCTGAAGGACCAATATTTCCTTCAGTCTGTATTTTGGGATCAGCACTGGGTTTTGGTAGCTATGGAAACACAAAAAAGCCTTAGCAACTGATGGTGGCCAGCAAGGAAAGCAACTGGTGCTGCCATGGAAACTTGTGGCCTTAAAATGGTTTCTTGAAGGCACTTGCTCCTTCTCCCAGGCAAATGTCAAGGGGCTGCAGGAGAAGCCCCGGTGGAGGGGATCTGAAGGGAAAGGCTCAGCCCTTGGTGGGACCTCACCTGAGGGGTGCTGGAGAAGCCTTCCAGCACCATGTCCTTAGTCTGTCCCGGCACCAGCTCCATCTGTGGCGGTTGCAGCTTGAACACGGGGCTGGCAGGTTTGGGGATCTGGGAAGTGCTTTTGCCCTTGGTGGTACCGAGGGCACGACGCTGCTGAACGACGCTGAACCCTTCTGTGGTCCAGAACAGTTGATGGGTTTGTCGCCCTTTGTTTGTTATTTTGAACTGGTAACAGCAGGGAGTGAGGCTGGAAGAGAAGCAGAGATGGCATCACCAGCACCCTGATGGAGCTCCCTGACTGCACTTTCAGCAATAAAACCTCCACCAAAAAGGCCACTCGAGCTCAAAGCTCAAAGGCCACCCCTCCCTCAAAGGAGGGGTCTCAAAGGGGTTTTGGGGAGATTCAATTCAGTCTTACCCCAAAACTGTCTTTGTTGAGCTTAGTCCTCTCTCTCTCTCTCTCTCCATTAGACATCCCTGTGTCTCTCTGCTTAGCTGCAATGCCATCTTTGCTGCTTGGTTCTCATCTTCTTGGTCTTCTGCCACAATTCTCCATTCAGTGCTGCTCCACCACGCTTTTAGTATCTCTGGCTGTCCACTCACAGCAGGGAAACTTCCCCCAGCCCTCAGCTACAGTACTTGGTCCAGTTTAACACTGTTTCTGAGTTTCTGAAGCCCCCAGCTGGGCTCCTGGCCCCTCTCTCTCTCTCCTCGTGATCTAAAACAAGGCCACTTCTCCTCCAACTACATCATCATTCTTCTTTTCCTGTCTGCTATGTTTAAATTTTGCAGGGGCACTGATTGGGTCAACATTGAGAGACACCACCCCCTTGGGGGTTACTATTTTTTTAACTCCACGGGGAAAAACAGGTGTTTTTTCCCCACCACATTCATGAAAAGGATCTTCTCAGTTGCTGCCTCATCTCAGAGCATCAGCAGCCTTTGCTGCTTAACACTCTGAGGGTTTTTCCAGGGTCTCACTGTACCAGACACCGAGCTGGCCACTCCCAGCTGCGAGTAGAGGGAGGAACAGATTTGCTGCTGTTTCACTTTTTCCTGGCGAGGTGCTGCCTCAGGTGGCAGCATCCTCTGAGGGTGCTACTGGGATTCTGCAGGGTACAGAGACTCATCTGGTGATCTGGGCACCACTTGCCTTCCTGCTGGGGCTCCTGCCCTGGCACCCCTGCTATCCTCCTCAACACCCCAGCCCTTCGAGAGCATCCAACCCTCATTGCTCCCAACAGATCATCTTTTGCCTGAACAGTGTAGCTGGGTTTGTTGTTTTAGGAAGAGAAATGCGCTGTGAGAACACGGGATCAACAGAAGTTTCCCCAGTATGAAGATGGCAGCAAGACCAGGTCTAGCTACTGAGGGAGTGGAGTGACAAGAAGAGATGACTGGCTCACTTCAGCTAGACAGAAAACAAAATGAATGTTCAATGGAAATTGATTCCCTCATGTAAAGAAACACTAACTGCAGGCTAGTCTGGAGCCATTATTTTATTCTCAATAAATCTGAGCATGGCCAGGAAACAAATTGTTCCTGGAAAAGTTATTGGTTTTTTTGAAAGGCACGGATTATGTGGCTGGCAAGGCACAGGTCTGCTGCCAGCAGCTCCACACAAACACAGGAGGGATGGCATGGGGGAAACTCGCTCTGAAACAGACTCTTAACAAATGATGTGTGCAAGCTTAGTATGAAACGGTTTATGTTGGGGACAGCAACAGATGAAAGCCTGGAGAAGCTCTGGGTAGATGCAGAATTTGTGGCTCTGGGAGCTGTTCTCTGGGTCCCAACTCAGCTCCCTGGGTGGTAGCTCTGAGCTGACAGCACCAGCAACAACCCCAAACCAGGCCTGCAGGCACAGATGGGAAGGGGGCAGAGGATGATGACACCAGTCACACCAACATTGTCCCCTCTGTTTTGTAGCCAGTTTGTGGCTGCACAGAGCACAGGAGATGTGGACTAGCACCCACCTCCCTGCAACGTCTCTGCTTGTGTGGATGGCTGGTGGGTGCATATTTAACCCCTTGAAATCTATCCTAAATGCCTAAGGTGGGATTAACCTGCTCTTTCTACCCCAAAATTTGGGTATTGGGAGCACTGTGGACCCTCTTTGCAGTCAGGGAAAAGAACAGGCACGTTGAGGAGACTATTCTTCCCATCCCAAGAGCTCTCCAGCACAAGGCAAACAGCACTTTGAAAAGGCTTCTTTTTCTCCTGTTTACAAGAATGCGTCTGGTTTCTGACAAAGCCATTAGGATGAGTGAACCCCCTCCTGCAAGCTCAGCTCTATGAATTCACACTCCCAGTGTATCCCACCCAACCTCCCTCACTGGACTTTTCCTGTCCCTTTTGGAGCTGGTCCTGCAGCCACCTTTGCCCGTCTGTGCCTCAGGTTTCCGCTGTGGAGGAGACAAGGGAGCAGGCAGAACAAACGAGGGAAGAGCCACTGTGTCTAACAAAGCCCAGCCCTGCAGGGGAGCTGGGGAAGAACAATTGGAGGGGTATCACAGGGCAGAGAAATTCTGCTGCTCCTCCCGGATTCCCAGGCAGAGGGGAAATAAAACCACACCATTCATTTAGTCGAGGAGCTGCCAGGAAGCCACTGCCAAGGTTTTTGTGCTGTTGTGAGATGATGCTCCATAGGGAACGGAAAAGCAAGCAACATTATTGCAGAGAGAAATATGTTTATACTGGTAATGTAGAATTTTCCAGCCAGAGGCTGCCGGGACCTGCTGTTTTCCTCCGAATCGTTACTTGATAAAGTGAGGAAATAAAAGTATCAGAACTAAAGACAATTCAGCGACAATTTAGCGACTGGCTTCCATTTTGGTGGCTTTTGAGGGTATCTAAAAACTCTCAACTGGCCATCACATGTTTCTAGAGGAATCAGGGCTGGGACCTTGTGCTCTGAAGAAGATCGAGCCTGAAGGACTACAGCAAAACTGCTCCTTGCTGAGCCCATGGGAGAAGCGGGAGCTGAGAGAGATCCTACCTGAAGTGGGGGCTAAATTTGAGCTCCTGAGAGAAAGGTTTGTCAGTGACAATGGTGGTGCCAACGCCCACAGCCTGCACAGGGATGATGTTCACTTCACTGTTCTCAATGAACAGCTTCACCTTGTCCTTGAATTTCCCCGTGTCATCGAGGTTTGCTGTGACAGTCACAGACACCTCACTCTCGGGGGGGATCACTCCCTTACTGGGTTCAGTCCTCCAGTGTGAGCACGTGCCAGCCTGTAAAACAAACCAAACATGAACTTGAGATGGAAACCATGGACCCTGGTCTGCTGTGGGGTGCAGGAAATGGAAGGACTAAAGAGAGGAGGGTAAAAACCATAAAGGTTTAATTTCCCTAAATTTGACCTACAGTGTCTGGCAACAGCAACTCTCTAAAAGCTTATACAACCTGTATTTTACCCTCCTTTAACAGATTCACTTCATTAACCCAGTTTTGCTCAACCCAAGGGATGTTCCTCCTCAGGAGAAGGTTATTCACCCTCCAGTCTCTCTTTGGAGTCCATGCCAAGGGAAGCTACTTTCCTGGCTTCCTGACAACAGAGCTGGGTTGGCACAGAGGCTCAAGGCCAGGGGAAGCCAGGACTGCTCCAATCCCACCACAGCAGCCACACAGCTGGAGGATATTGCTGAGAGCCCAAAGGATAACTCTGCAAAACCAGTTGAACAAAACCCCAACACTAAAGTCTTCTTTCCCAGGAGGCTCTCAGTGCTTCTCAACAACCCCTGAAGGACTGAAGCCCTTTTTTCCCGTTGATCATCAGCTGCAGGGAGGTGTCCCAGTGCCCTTTGCTTTGGAAAAGTCAGCTCTGCATGGCTACAGCAGGGCAGGAAAGCAGTAAGCAGAAAGAAAACTGCAGTGTGTGTGTGTCCTGTGGCATGGCCCAGCCTTCCCAAGCACTCTTGTCCTCCGGTTTCTCATGGACTTCCCTCTATGGATGGGGCAAGAGAGCTGGAAGCTGCCTGGGGAAGGGAGGGCAGGCCTTACACTGGGACAGCTGTGCTGACACAGCTCTGCAGGTCAGGGCCTGGTATGAGCATGAAAACCCACCACTGACAGGCCAGGACCACCCATCTGAGGTGGTTTTATCTCTGCAGAGCTGGAAGGCAGAATTTCATTGTGGAGTCAGAGAAAGCTGCCCTGGCAACTCCCCCACCTTTGAGGTTACATTTATCCCCCAAACATCTGGAAAAGCAGCAAGAGGAAAATTCACCTCCCTCCTCCTTGATCCAGGAGACTGAACCTGAACTCTCACACACCTGATGCTTTATCCACAGATACAAGTCCACTGTGTCAGGGCTGGGTTTAACCAGCTCCAGAAGTTCAACCCACTCATGATGGAGAACAAACCTCCTCCCAAGCCTGTTTTCAAGCCTCTAATAGATCCCCCCTCCAGCAACATCAGACTAATGCTCTACTCACCACTTTATTCAAATTAAGGGATCAATTTTTCACCTGACTACAGTGACATAAATGCAGAGGAAATCTGTTGACTTGAACAGAATGAACAGCATGTGCCCAGTTCCAGAGCTGTGTCAGCTTTACAGCAGGAAGCTGAGGGTAAAGTGTGGCCCAGCAGGTGCTGGACAGTTCATGGCTGCAGAGTGTTTTCTGTCCCCACTGGAGATCCCCACAGGGAATACAACTCATTCTGCTCCCCAGGAGAGGAGAAATGAGACAGGGAAGAAAAGCAAACTGATTTATACAATGACATCCCTCCCTCTAACAGCCACCTTCTGTCCTCATCCTTCCTCTGCTGCTTTCCATCAGAGAAATTCCTCTCAAAAACACATGAATGGCTTCTGTACTTGACCATATGGTACATGATTTCAGCTTGTGATTTCGGAAACAAAACTGTGCTCCTTCAGGAACATCCCAAGCAACCCAGCTAAAAGAGGCCTCACACCAGTGCAGAGCTCTTACTCAGACAATACTCAAAGCTGGCAGTGCCAAAGCCCTCCCACACATCAGTGAAGCTTCAGCCCCACCTGCTGAAGTGTGTATGGCTGGACTCTTCCCATACCTGGATATCCTGGAATGCCTGGGAGCAGATGGTCCCTCTGCAGGGCGTTATGGTAAATTCCATTGGCTTCATGAGACCCTGAGCTCCCTTTCTCCAGGATGGGTGAGTGTTGCTGGATGTCTGATCCGAGCTGTTGAGGCTGGGCTCTCCAGAGCCGTCCTCAGGAATGTGGAGGGTGAAGGCCATGGGCATCAGGGAGGTGTTGGTCAGGCGGCAGGACAAGGTGCGAGGAAAGCCTGGAAAATGACACAATAATAGGCACCAATCATCTTGTGATTCCTGGTGTGAATGTCCCGGTAGGAGCTTGGAGTTTGGCTCTTTGTTATCTGAACTGCAGCTCATCGAGCAGCTCAGCCAGGAATTAATGGTCACTTAGTTCCCTTTGCTGCTGCTCCCAGATTGCTGCTTGGAAATGCCCACTCTTAGCCCTGCTGAACAC